ATCTACTTCTGCTTCATTGACTATGGAAAAACCTTCGACTGTATCGACCACAACAAACTATGGCAAGTCCTTAAAGAAATGGGAGTCTCTGACCACCTTATCTATCTCCTGAGAAATCTATATGTGGGACAAGAAGCAACAGTTAGAACTGGATATGGAACAACTGATTGGTTCAAAATTGGGAAAGGAGTACGACAAGGCTATATATTGTCTCCCTGCTTATTTAACTTAGATGCAGAATACATCATGTGAAAGGAGGACTGGATGAATCCAAAAGCGGAATTAAGATTGCTGGAAGAAATATCAACAACCTCCGATATGCAGATGATACCACTCTGATGGCAGAAAGTGAGGAGGAATTAAAGAACCTTGTAATGTGGGTGAAAGAGAAGAGCGCAAAAAAAAAATGGTCTGAAGCTCAACATCAAAAAAGCTAAGATCATGGCCACTGGTTCTATCACCTCCTGGCAAATAGAAGGGGAAGATATGGCGGTAGTGAAAGATTTTACTTTCTTGGGCTCCATGATCACTGCTGATGGTGACAGCAGCCACGAAATTAAAAGATGCCTGGAGGAAAGCAATGACAAACCTCGACAGCATCTTAAAAAGCAGAGAGATCACCTTGCCGACAAAGGTCCACATAGTCAAAGCTGTGGTTTTTCCAGTAGCGATGTATGGAAGTGAGAGCTGGACCATAAAGAAGGCTGACCACCAAAGAATTGATGCTTTTGAATTGTGGTGCTGGAGGAGACTCTTGAGAGTCCCCTGGACTGCAAGGAGAACAAACCTATCCATTTTGAAGGAAATCAACCCCGAGTGCTCACTGGAAGGACGGATCCTGAATCCGAGGCTCCAATATTTTGCCATCTCACGAGACAAGAAGACTCCCTGGGAAAGACACTGATGTTGGGGAAGTGTGAAGGCAAGAGGAGAAGGGGACGACAGAGGACGAGATGGTTGGACAGTGCCATTGAAGCGACCAACATGAATTTGGCCCAACTCCAGGAGGCAATGGAAGACAGGAGGGCCTGGCGTGCTCTGGTCCATGGGGTCACGAAAAGTTGGACACAACTTAACGACTAAACAACAATAAGGTATTTCTAAACAGGGTTTTATAACAGCATTGCAGGGGGAATATGTTCCTGCTACTGCTACTAGATACCTGAAAATGTGAAGAATGAGATTTAATAATATTCTCTTACAGCAGTGCAGGAGAAATGATCCAATAAAATAAATATTTCAGTACAGTACCTCCCTAAATTTAATCCCTTTACTACAACCCCATAACCCACCCTCAAAGAGAACTCTATAGCATCTACTAGAAGACTCAAATTCAAGTTCAGAAACTTGTTCTGTGCTGTTCTTGGAGCAAATCACAGAAATTCTTGACTAAATAAAGCTAATGCAGTGTAACTGCAGCCAAGTCTTTCTTGGACTGCTTCTGCTGTGTAGAACACACACCCATCGTTCTCAGCAGGGACCTTGTTTGAAAAACTGACAACTAAGCAAACTCAAATTCACAGCACTTGAATACAAGAAGGCTGGCTGCACCAGTGACTTTGCAAGAATAGGATTAATAAAAACAGGTTGAGGTAATACGTTGGTATCGCCACCTTTCTAATAACTAACAGATGCTGAATTTCCCCTTTTTTAAAAAAAAAAATTGAAGTTTAAAGTTCAGTTCCAGTGCAGGTTCAATAAGGCATATATATGGGGAAAAAGTTTGAGGACTGCAGCCTTTGTGAGCCTTACATTAATTATTTTGTATCTGTTTAGGGATTGTTTCTTCCTTAACATTTTTCCTACACTGGTGGAGGAAAAGAGAAATAAAATGCAAACATTCACATGTATAAAAATCACTGGCGTGTTCATATGGGGACTTACAGCTGAAAACGACAGGAGCCTCAGAACACAGACACACCGTTTGCACACATGAAAAAAAAAGTCTTTAAGGTGCAAGTACATTTTTTTTTCATTTTGTTTTTACTGAAAAACCAAAAAATTACTTAAAATACAATAGTAATATTTTCAAAAGTGAAAACGGTCAGCATAGTCTTATATATATGTCTGCTCATAAATTCAATTATACTTCTTTTTAGGGAGGTGTATATAACATATTCAATACGGCAATGAAGTTAACTTGAAAGTGTGAGGAGAGCAGAGCATAAGCTTTCTTCTTCTGTTGCTGTTGTCCTCTCCGTGCATTTGGGAGCCCTGAGACCTCTCATAAAACCGAGAGCCCCCAAATGCTGCCACCTCTTTGCACTGCTATTCTACACATGCAGGGAATGAAGAAAGGAGGGAAGGACTAGCCCTTTCCCCTTCTTCATACATTCAAGCAACACACTTCTGAACAGCTGAAAAGAGCTTATGTAGAACTAGTACGCTTGCTGGAGGGGGCACCGAGGTGGCACTGAGGCCAGCAGAACGGGGCAGGGAGCATAAGTGAGGGCAGAAGTTCGTTCCTGAATGGTGAAGGAAACTATTTTCAAAAAGATAGTCATAGGTTGGTGGGATTAGGTCAAGGCAAAATTCAGAGCATCAATTTCAGGCAGCTAAATCTACCCGAACCACTTGTTCTAGCCTAACGCTGAGGGAGGCCCGGAGAGAAAGAACAAGAAAACGGGCCTTCTCGGCAGTGGCCCCTCGCCTTTGGAACAGTCTGCCCCAAGAGATCTGTCTAGCTCCCTCGCTGGGTGTTTTTAAGAGCAGACGTAAGACCTGGCTCTTTAGGCAGGCTTCCCCTCCTGTCATCACTTGAATTTTTTTCTCTTTTCCCCATCTTGGACTATATTACTGTTTTTTTAAATTATATTATATTGTTTTTATTCCATTTTTTATTGTTAATCGCCCAGAGTAGACTTAGATCTAGATGGGCAGAGCACAAACAAACTAACTAACTAACTAACTAACAAATGAACGAATGAACGAACAAACAAACAAACAAACAAACAAACAAATAAATAAATAAATAAATGGGTATGTTCTGACTTTAAGAGACTCCCATACCTGAACAGAGGCTGTTCTGCAAATATTAAAGCATTAAGCCTTCTTAAAAGGAAAATGTGTTTATTGCAATTTCAAAAATCTGAATCCAAACCAGCTCTCACCACCCTTAGGTGATCAATTGTAAGAATTTACAAATTGAACAGAGTCAGATTTTAAAATGATTTCTCGTAGTTCCTCCAGCAGTTCCCAACCTTGGGTCCCCAGATATTCTTGGGCCACAACTCCCAGAAATCCTGACCATCACAGCTAGTGGTGAAGGCTTCTGGGAGTTTTAGTCCAAGAACATCTGGGGACCCAAAGTTGAGAACCACTGTTCTAGGCAAACATACCATCCTTAAGTGATCGGTTCAGAACAAAAACCTAGGAGCCACCCTTCTATTCTTCCTCATTATGACAGATTAAAAAACAACAACTGATGTCACATACAGAAACAGCCCCAGAGATGCCCTGTGATTGGGAGAGACCGCACAAAGGGCATCTGATAAATGGAGAGTAGAAATTAAAATAGTGAACCAGAGAAATCAGAGATAGAAATCTAGTTGCTATTAGTCACTTCACTTTACCCTTTGGCCTTGGTTTCCATCTCGTCCTGGGGCTCCAGATGCTCCGGGAACACCCTGCATAAAAGACAAAGCAAGCAGAGAATGGCCGGACTCCTACTGTGTATTTACATTGGTGCAGCACTACCAGAATATCCGTGGTGAGTTGACCCCAGGTTAAGAAGCCCAGTTATGGGACTAATGTGAAATACCTAGAATGATTTCTTCATCAGCAGTGAATGTGAATGAAATGATGCAGTTCCACCAGCTCCTGTGCCTGTTTGGTTTACAGAAAGCTCCATAGATGGAAATCAAGCATCAGTGACTGCAAGTATAAACACTGTTCTGGGGCAGGAAATGCCTCCAAGACCTCCTTGGAGGTCTGCTAGATCCAAAATTGCTCCAATGCCTTGAGAATAGCCAGGATGAGACCCGTTATCTATGCTAACTTAAAGGTGCTTCCAATGGGGAGGATTTAACATGAAAAGCCTAATAAAACTATTCCACACACATTCTGTCCTGGCCAGCGTAGGATGTAAGGCTGCAAATGAGGCGGTAGATTTGCCACTTCACTCTCCCTCAATCTAACTTAAAACTGTCTGGTAACATAGTTAACCATAATGTGGTCCCTGAAGAATCCAATCATCAACTAAACATTTGGAACTTTATATTTCAGTTTACATATATGACATAACCCATTAGCTCAACAGTTACCTGCCATGGGGAGGATTTAACACGAAAAGCCTAATAAAACACATACATTCTGTCCTGGCCAGCATAAGATGTAAGGCTGGAAAGGAGGCGGTAGATTTGCCACTTCACTCTCCCTCAATCTAACTTAAAACTGTCTGGTAACATAGTTAACCATAATGTGGTCCCTGAAGAATCCAATCATCAACTAAATATTTGGAACTTCATATTTCAGTTTACATATATGACATAACCCATTAGCTCAACAGTTACCTGTAGACCAGGACGACCCATTTCTCCCATTTCTCCTTTTTCACCAATTGGTCCCTGTTGATAAATAATTACGGAATTACATGTTTTAGTCAACAGCGTACTTTCCCTCCCCCCTCTTTCATCATAAGAGAATGATAAAAAATAGCATTTCTTTCTAGAATGAAATAAATCCTAGATTGAGCCTTATATAGGAGTTATAAATCAGCCATTCTCACCCCTTTTTTTTGGCCATGCCCATGAACACAATATGAATATAGGATGAATCAGGATTGTATAAGTCACACAGACTTATACACCCCTCCCCCCTCTTTCTTCAGAAGAGAATGATAAAAAAATAACAACTTTTCTTTCTAGAATGAAATAAATCCTAGATTGAGCCTTATATAGGAGTTATAAATCAGCCATTCTCACCCCTTTTTTTTGGCCATGCCCATGAACACAATATGAATATAGGATGAATCAGGATTGTATAAGTCACACAGACTTATACAATCTTCTGTATCAAGAATTGTTTCCTGTCTGTACCCCCCCCCCTTTGAATCTGCCAGGGTCCCCCAGAGGACCATATAACAGTCCCCCTTCCTGGTGGAGAAATGATGCCTTTTAGCCAACGATAAATGTGTTTACATCCCACTGATTTTCGGTGGAGGATTACTCAGCATGTGCTTAATTCTCCCACTGAAATGCAGAGGACTTCACTTTGTTTAACCTTATCTGAATCACTGCTGTTCTTTCAAATGTAAATCAGAGCTATAAAAGCACACAATAACATGAAAGGCCTTGTTGGGGTTCCTGATCATGCAGACCACTGTGATCATGTTTTCTGGAATGCAGTTACATGTTTTCTTCATGCAGTGACACACATTTCCTTCAGACCTTCCCAGGAAACAAAGGAAACTAGGATGTGTCACATAACCCCCAACCCAGGTCCATTACTGCAGCTCCACCTGGTGCTGATCTGTTTCTGGACTCTATTCAAAGTGCTGGTTTTAACCTATAAAGCCATAAATGGCTTGGGTTCAAGCTATCTCAAAGACCGATGTCTCCTTTTATGAACCTGCTTGGGTGTTAAGATCATCAGGAGAGGGTTTTCTCTCAGTGCCACCACCTTCACAGGCTCATTTGGTGGCTGCTCCCAGACTCTGGAATTCCCTACCATGGGAGGCCAAGCTGGTACCGTCTTTGCTGTACTTCCGATAGCAAATACTTTTTTTTCTCCAGGCAAACTTTTCCTTAGTGACTGACTGTCTGAGAGGGGTTTTAAAACAAGATGGCTTACATTTTGTTGCTTCTAAATCTGTTTCAGTAATGTTTTAACTAACATTCTTAAAATAGTGTTATTACTTCATTTAATATTTGAATGATGCACTGTTTTTAGATTTAACATTGTGTTTGAAGAATATAAGCCACCTTGGGTCCTTTCTTAAGAGAAATGTAAGGTAAAAATATTTAGAATACACGAGTAAATAACTAAAAATGGCAGATGAGATCACAGCACACATTTCTAATCCCCTCTAGATCTACTAACACCGAACATCTGAAGAGGGCTTTGGAGTTACATTTAGGGACAATTCTGTATCTTCTGCTTTTCTAGCCAAACGGAAAGACTTTCAAGAATTATCCTGGATGGAAGCTCAGGTGAAATTCTGAAACCCAGTGTATTGGATTCGTCCAAGTTGAGGTAAATTACTGTATGTGCCTGTTAGCATTCTAACAAGGAGCCATAACAAAAGATAACGGATAAAGCTACACATCTTAAGGTTTCAACAGAAGATGTAATAGAGGCCTTCCAGTATCAGACCAATGGCTTATCTAGCTCAGCAGTCTGTTTCCCACAACAGCTAAATGAATAGCAAGAGAAAGCCCATGAGTTTTATTTCTCTCCAGCCATCATTCCTTAGTGACACGTATTTAGAGCCGTACAGTAGCTCTTGATTGTTTAGAAGACATATTTAAATAAAAATCTAATATGTAAACCTACCGGAGGTCCTTGAATGGAGAGTCCACTTGGTCCTTGTGGACCCGGAGGGCCTTGAGGACCGGGAGCTCCAATCTCACCACGAGGTCCATCTGGTCCCTAGGACCAAAAAGCTTACCATCATTTTGAGCTATTACATATGGAACGAGTAGCAGCTTATGTTGCTAAAACATCAAGCCAAATGGAATGGCACATTAAAATATGAATTAAATACAGCACGGAAATGTTCCTTTTTTTTTTTTAAGACTTCAGCTCTCAAGACCCCCCCCTCCCAAGTCAGTCTGGCCTCTTTCCCAAGCACTGACAAGATCATATACTGCATTCCATTTTTTCTTAATAAAAACAATAAAAAGTTAACATTGGCAGAGGGGACCAACATATTAGGTCAAAAAAGGGGGGGGACTGTAGTTGCAGGATGCAGAAAATATGCTTTATTCCAGCATACCTGACACGAGAGGACCAACAACACTAATGTTTTTTTTTCTACATAAACAAAAACAAAACAAACAGGAAAACCATTCTGCCAAAAAATAACTATGTTTTTTCTATCTGCTTGCAAGAGTGATGAGTCCTGTTGAACATGTTAGTGAGGCCTGATTTCAGCGGTCAATGACATGATCTTTTTAGAAAGGGTTAAGCAATTTATAACAGTATACGTATAGAAGTCTCTGTATCTAATGCCTTATGGAGGGATTTCTATCATGCCTTTTATAGTATCATCCCTGGAACCAGAGCTTGGAAAAATTACTTTTTTTGGACCCACAGATCCATATCTCCCAGCCAGTGCAGCCACTTGCGTGTACTCCCTGGGAGATGCTGGTAGTTTTATTGCTCAAAAATGCAACTTTCCCAAGCTGTGGAATTAGCATGCCTGAAGAGGCTTAAGAAAGACCCTTATTTGTAAAGCCCTAGTATAATAATAGTAGGGATGTGGTGGCGCTGCAGGTTAAACTGCAGAAGCCTCTGTGCTGCAAGGTCAGAAGACCAGCAGTCATAAGATCGAATCCAAACCACGG